TATTCTGACACCAATTGCTTGAGGGTCTGGAGAAAATTTATAAATATATTTAAATTTATGTGAGGATTTAAGATTTCTATTTTGTTTATCGTACATGTATTTAGAAGGTGGTGGGACACCTTTTAATGGCTCTTTGAGACAGTCTCTGCAAACAAGCTTTTCAAGTTTTTGTTTTCTAGAAATGCCTTATTTTTATACTGTTTTACATCCAGAATACCGGTAGTTCTTATTTACTTGTCAGTCAATGCAGTGTGGATTGTTTTGTCATACAAGCTACAGCACAGTGTAGCTTATAAGCTTAATTATGTGAAATTAGTTTTTGTTATTTTCTCTTTTCCTGCAGATTTGGAACTGAAGCTTCCTCTATGAATGTGAAAATGAATCTTAAAATGGATCAACTTTTTAAAACAGGAAAAATGGCACTGCCTTTTTTGGCTAATTGGGTCCTATGGTGTCAAAGACAGAGTTACAGGTCTTACTGCAATTTTCATAAAAAACAAAAACTTTTTCCACAAATGAACCTGCGGGATGACACTGAAACATTCCAGGAGAGCAAATCCGGAGAACCAATGTGTAAAAGCCAAATGTTGATGTTACAAACTGGATTGATTTGTCCTGCCAACCCTGGATGCTATTACTATATGCCTTATACTGTCCGGGCGATGGAGAAGCTTATCAAAGTTTTAGACCAAGAAATGCAAGCCATAGGTGGCCAAAAGTTGAACATGCCCACGTTATGCTCAGGAAAGCTCTGGAAAGCCAGTGGAAGATGGGAACTGATGGGCAAAGAGCTTCTGCGAGTGACAGACAGGCATAGTCAAGAATATTGTTTAGGGCCTACCCATGAAGAGGCCATCACAGACCTAGTAGCTTCTCAGGGCTCCTTGTCCTACAAACAGCTTCCTCTTCTGTTGTATCAGGTGACACGGAAGTTTCGAGATGAGCCGAGACCTCGTTTTGGGTTACTCCGTGGCCGAGAGTTCTACATGAAGGATATGTATAGTTTTGATGTCTCAGAGGAGGCCGCTCTCCAGACCTATTCCCTTGTGTGTAAGGCTTACAGCAACATATTCAGCCGGTTGGGGCTTCGGTTTCTGAAAGTCCAAGGAGCAACAGGAAGCATCGGAGGGACACTGTCTCATGAATTCCAGCTTCCTTCTGATGTCGGTGAGGACCGATTGGCAATGTGTACCAACTGTGACTTTTCAGCCAATCTAGAGATAGTAAAGTCAGATGAGATGTGTTGCCCTGTTTGCAAAGGAGGACTGGTTGAGAAGAAAGGGATTGAAGTGGGCCACACATTCTTCTTGGGAACTAAATATTCTTCTGTTTTTAAAGCTACTGTCCAAACTGCTGACAATGTGCCCGTTCTAGCTGAAATGGGATGCTATGGGTTGGGTGTCACCCGCATCCTTGCGGCCTCCATTGAGTTGCTTTCAACAGAGAATGCCATTCGTTGGCCAAACCTCATAGCACCCTATCAAGTTTGCCTTATTCCTCCCAAAAGTGGCAGTAAGGCACACAAAACAACAGAACTTATAGAGGATTTACACAGGTGTGTTGCTGAAGCCATACCCCAACTTAAAGAAGAACTTGTGCTGGATGACCGGACTCAGTTCACCATTGGAAAAAGGTTAAAAGATGCTGACAAACTTGGCTACCCCTTTGTTATAGTATGTGGGAAGAAGGCTTTAGATGACCCTCCTCTCTTTGAAGTATGCAACCAAAACACGGGTGAAACCCTATACCTTACCAAAGAGGCCACAATTGACTTGTTACGTAAAATCCAAATTCTCTGAAAACTAGATTGGGATGGTGGTGATTCTAAAATATTAAAACTTTGTCATATCAAAACATACAATAATTTGGGCATATTGGATTTTTTTGTTGTTTTAATTTCTAGTCTGTAACCCAAGCATTACAATGAAGCAGAATGATGATGCCTCTCTTTCTGTAGCTCTGTCTGTCGCCCTTACTAGGTAGGCCAGATAGGAAACATGATCAGATAAGCTATTTTAAGGTTATATGAAAGAGTCCTGCAAGTCTGGGCACTTCTCCCCACATCTCCTTTACAGCCCCAAAACTAAGGGGGGGTCTCTTCTGAGCCTCTTGCCCCGCTTACATTCTTACTATGAGCTAAGCTGCTTTTTTATTTACTGATTATATCCCACCTTTATTATTTTTAGAAATAAGGCAGCGAACATACCCAATACACCTTCCTCCTTTTATTTTTCCCAAAACAACAACCCTGCAAGGTGAGAGTGATTGGCCCAAAGTCACCCAGCCAGCTTTCATGGCCAAGGCAGGATTTGAACTCACTGTCTCCTGCTTTCTAGCTTGGTGCTCTAATCACTAGACCAGTGGTAGGCAACCTTGGCTCTTTTATGACTTGTGGACTTCAATACCCAGAATTCCTGAACCAGCCATGCTGACTCAGGAATTCTGGGAGTTGAAATCCTCAAGTCATAAAAGAGCCAAGGTTCCTTACTCTTGCACTAGACCAAACTGGCTATCTCTTTGAAGCTAGGTGTACATTTCAGGTACAGAAACAGCAGGCCAACCTGCAGAGATTCTTTTACCAGTTTTTTTCCCTATAATGAGAGTGAACTCCCTATAAAAAAGGGCTTCCATAGCATTCCTAAGTATTTTTTTTAAAAAGCTACTACCTTTCTTGAATGAGAGTAGATTACCTGTTTGTGTAGGCTACCACATTGCTTTGAGTTCCATTTTTATTTTGGGAATTTAAACCAGTGTTTCTCAGCCTCAGCATCTTTTAAGAAATGTGGACCTCAACACCTTATGATAATTGGAGAATTCTGGGACTTAAAGTTCACATTTCTTAAGATTACTAAAGTCGAGAAATACTGATTTAAAACATCAAAAGGCACAAACCTGTAAAAGGGATGCTAGGCTTCTATCTGCGGAGTGTGCAAGTCCCTAAAAGTCTTTTGTGGTTCAAATTGCATATCTGATCAAACTTTCTATGAGAGCTTTTGCCTTGTATCTTTGATCATCAGGTTCTGCCTGCTTCAGAATCTATCTTAGGCTGACTTTATCAGGCAATGGGCCTTATTTTAAGATATGGTAAATGGCTTATGCTATTAGTTAAAATAAGGGTGGGGAAGAGCCTCCAAATATCTAGAACTGTCCATTCTTTTCTGTCCACTCTGATTTAGCTTTATTCCACTTTCTCCTCTTTTCTTCCTTCTCATACGATCTATGGACTTCAACCCCCAGAATTGACTAGCTCAGGAATTCTGGGAGTTGAAGTCCACAGGTTGTAAAGTTGCCATAGTTGCCCCACCCCTGTCATATAGAAAGCAGGAACTATTTGATCATTCCATAAATCCAGACTAGCCATTTCTAGAAAATTATAGTCTGGAGGCCAAGAGAAATTAGTCTGAAGTCTCTTTGTGGCACTAAGGTTATCTTATTAGAGCATTCCTATTCTAGAATGATGTCGAGATTCTCAGTCATCCAGGTCATGGTTGTCTCAAAAGTGTTTTTTCAAGCGGCAACTGGACTTTCTTTTCCAAAACATACTCTTAGATGTACTCTGAGAGTAAAGTTGCAGAGGCCCTTCAGTGCATTCATACTATATATTAAGTTCAGTTATCTTTGAGGTTGAGTCTTTTTGTGGCTTCAGGCTGAGGTACAAACCTAGACCTTTTTCGTGAGCTGATAATTCAATGTATTCTAGGAATTCAGATAATAAACTTAGTAATAGAGCCGAATGTGTTCTGCATATCCTGTACTTCTATCTGCCACAGATTACCCCCCACCGACCTGTACGCTCTCACAGAGTGGGTCTCCTCAGGGTACCGTCGGCCAGACAGTGCCGGCTGGCGACCCCAAGGGGGAGGGCCTTCTCTGTGGGAGCTCCCACCCTCTGGAACGAACTGCCCCCAGAGATCAGGGTGATTCCTGATCTCCCTTCCTTCCGCCGCGCCCTCAAGACNGGGACATTGTTTGGCATTGTCATCTGTGATTTTTAAATTTTAATTTCACCTACAGTCCTGGGGTTTTCTGCTAATGGCCCATCCTAGCACTAGCCAAAGTGATCCTGCTTAGTTTTATGAAGTTAGCCAAGGTCAAGGCTGCCACCATGCTGTGAAGCAGAGTGAAAGCAGTCAACACTGAAAAAAATCTCCCAGCCTTTGAACAGACTCAGGATTTTAAACTTTCAAGAGTATGAACAGTGAGGCTGGCCAGAGTTGTAATCTACGACTGCCAGCAGTTCTGCAGTTTGATTCTCACTGGCTCAAGGTTGACTCAGCTTTCCATCCTTCTGAGGTTGGTAAAATGAGGACCCAGATTGTTGGAGGCAATATGCCGACTGTGTAAACGGCTTAGAGCACTATGAAGCGCTATATAACTACGTGCTATTGCTAAATGGTAGTCATTGGGTTGATGGACAAATGTGAGCACACTTAAGCGGGGGGGGGGGAGCAGTTATAATTGTTTTCTCTAGCCAAGTTTTCTAACTAGAGCAGGGATGGGCAAGTAGGGCAACTTTACACCCCATGGACCAACTCCCAGAATTCCTGAGCCACCCCCGTACTGAGCATCTGTACTAAGCATCCAAATAAGGATAAAGGGAGTTGTAGTCCAGCGGCCCTTGTTAGCTATATAACTACGTGCTATTGCTAAATGGCAGTCATTGGGTTGATGGACAAATGTGAGCACACTTAAGCGGGGGAGGGGGAGCAGTTATAATTGTTTTCTCTAGCCAAGTTTTCTAACTAGAGCAGGGATGGGCAAGTAGGGCGACTGTACACCCCATGGACTTCAACTCCCAGAATTCCTGAGCCACCCCCGTACTGAGCATCTGTACTAAGCATCCAAATAAGGATAAAGGGAGTTGTAGTCCAGCGGCCCTTGTTAGCCACAGACAGAAAAGGCGGGGAGTGAAATCGCGGCCTCGCATGACCATCTTCATTGCAAGCCCCGCTCGCCTTTCTCACCGCTTTCGGCTGCAAGAGCCGCCTCCGGAAGGGCGGAGCGGCCGAGCGGGGCGGCGCTTTCACACATGGCGGAAAACGAAGAGGGGGATTGGGATGCCTTCCTCGACAAATTTCAGGGCCCGCAGCGGTACGAGGGGGCCTTCAATCCCACGACATGGGAGCAGGTGCGGCTGCGGAGCGGGGGGCACTGCCAGGCGGGAGGCTCTGCTTTTCTCCGGGGAGGCGCGTTTCGGGTCTGGCTTGGAAGGAGCGGGAGAGGCGAAGCAAAGCTGCAGGGTTGATCCAGGGACGAGATCGTCTCCCTTTCTTAGAGATTTTTATACAGTTCTTCCTCCAGAGATCACGAGGGGGCGTTTTAATTCTTCCGAACAGCCCTGTAAGGTGGGCTGAGAGACGTAAAAGGGGATGACCCCGGTAATGTCACCACGACTGGATGCAGTTCTCCAGCGATTCTTCCTGGTAATACAGATAATCCTCGACTTGCAACCATTTGTGACTTTTCAAAGCTACAATTGCATTGCAAAAGTGACTTATGACTTAACCACGGTTGCAGCATCCCAATGGTCAAGGAATCACAATTTGGATACTTGGCAACAGGCATGTATTTCTGAGGGTTGTCAATGAGGAAACCAGATTCGTGTAACAGCTGTGTTACTAACTAAATGGTTCACTTAACAACTGTGGCAAGAAAAGTTGTAATATGGGAGAAAATTCAACTGTCTTGCTTAGCAATGGAAATGTTGGGCTCAATTGTGGTCGTAAGTCAAGGACTACCAGTACTGCAAATTGGACTTGTGAACAGCCTGTGCTCTGCTGTGCCAGTCAACAGGAAGGGGATTTCAATCCCTCTTTCCAGGGATTACATCCTTTTGCATACAGTGTCAGACTAGTCTGATCACAGATCTGCTTCTTTTGATGGATTACTGATTATCTGCCCTCTAACCAGTGTTGACACTTAACAACCATGTAGATAGCTTTTCTTAGTGACAGTTGTTTTTAGGGAAGGTTAAATGCTGTATTTCTTAACAATAGCTACTAATTTAGAAAGTTGAAAACTTAAGGCTTCTTTAAAAAAATTAAGAGCACAATTAAATTTTCAGGCCAGGTGTAAAAAATGTATCCTCCAAATGTGCTTAATTGAAATTCACGGTATTGGCCCTGCTGGCTAAATGAACTGCAACATCTGGAGGCCCCCAAATTTTCAGCATAAGCAGAATTTTTTTTCTTCTAGATATTTCAAATATCAGGTATATTTTCAAAATCAAAAGTTTTGAATTATTTTCTTCTGTTCCTGCTATCTTGAATTACCTGTATGTGTTCATAGGAATTTGATCAGATTCCAATGTTCATGAAGAATCCTCCCTCTGAAATAAATCCAAAGCAAAATCCTGATCTGGCATGCCTTCAGTCTATCGTTTTTGATGAAGAACAGAGTTCTGAAGGTACCCTTTTATACTATGTATAATATTTTAATATTCTACATGTTCTAATTTCTCTCTTTGGAACCGTATTGGTGGCTGAAACAATTCATATCAGATGCTTTCTAAAAATGGTGATGTCTATTGTCTTTACTTTCCTCACCAGAGCAAGCTAAGACTTATAAGAACGAAGGTAATGATTATTTCAAGGAAAAGGATTATAAGAAGTCTGTGATATCGTATACAGAAGGACTGAAAAAGAAATGTAGTGACCTGGAATTGAATACTGTACTTCATACAAACAGAGCAGCAGCCCACTTTTATCTGGGTAATGTGATGCATTCAAAGTTATACCTATTTTTTTGAAAAACAAAAATATCTTTCATTTCTTCATTTGTTCTAATACTCGTTTATCTCTTCAGAGGATTCATTTTAATACAGTTAGCTTTGGTAAAGTAGTTTGTAGTGTTAACAATGGAAAATCAAAGCGTCAGATACTGCCCTGTACTACAAAATCAAAGCTACAGTTACAAAAAATATAATTCTCACAACATTAACATTAGGGAGGAGGGGTTGCATCATATTTTGCTCTAATCCATTCAGCATTCCAATAATGAATCAGTTTATAGCAGAATGCTTCAATTTTTCCTAATGAAGATCTCATTATAGAGACTTTGCATAGGTGTAACTTTTAAATGCAGGTTATATTTTGTTTAGGCAACTATCGCTCAGCTCTAAATGATGCTGTTGCAGCAAGAAAACTGAAACCCAGCCACCTCAAAGCAATAATAAGGGGTAAGAAACTCCACTCTTGTTTTTATATCCAATTCTCTGTTATGGAATATGTAGGGATATTTATACTGAAGATTTTGTACCCATTATCGGTTTTTAATGAATATTAGCTTCCATGTAATTAAGGAAGTTCTATTTATCAAAATAAAAATACAGAGCAATACATTCGTGCGTATTGCAAGATGTTATTTTGTGGAGAGTTAGAAACATTCCGATATTAATAATGTAGTTTTAAGGGTTGCTTGCATTTTTCATTAGCAAGAGACAAAATAAAAGTAGCTGAATAGAAGTACCTGAAATTATAATCTCTGATAGGTTAATGATGAAAAATAGTCTCTCTGGCTTGGATAAATTGTTCAGTCCTTCAGTCATTTGAGTCTTTACATCCCATCATTTCTTTTTCTGGTACTTTTCTGCACTTTCGGTATTAAAAAACGCGACCAACATTACTACATTGTCCTGCTGAAAGTATACTGTTTGCTGTGGAATACAAGTATAAAAAAATGTTGTACTTTTATAGGAGCACTGTGCCATATGGAACTCAAGCATTTCTCTGAAGCTATGGCATGGTGTGAGGAGGGTCTGAAATTAGATCCACAGGGAAAAAAACTTCTGGAAATAAGAACAAAAGCAGACAGACTTAAGGTTAGAAAGGATTAAATATAAAAACATGTAGTCCCTCTGATACAGAGTTTGGTGAAGCCTTGGCTGCTCTTACGCTATCACTACATAACTTTACTTGTCTTGCAGCGTACTGAAGAGCGAGATTTGAGAAAAGCAAAATTTCAGGAGAAGAAGGAACAATGTCAGAAAGAGGCCTTACTTAAAGCTATTAAGGTAGCTGTGAAAAGATAGCAACACTTGAAATGTGAACTTATCAAGATGTGCTTTAGATCTATGCCTCAAGCTGGGTTGTTTTACTTTTCTGACTTAGGATCGAAACATCAAATTATCTCCGGTGCCCTCAGCAGATGAGATGGCCATATCAAAGGACCTCGGGGAGATGTCTTTAGATGGACTCAGCTCTGAAAGCGGCACCGGGGCCAAAGTCTGCCTGGAAGACAATGGCAGCCTTACTTGGCCAGTGCTCTTCCTGTACCCTGAGCATGGACAAACTGACTTCATTTCTGCTTTTCATGAAGAATCCAGGTTAATGTTTCTCAAAGCACAAAATAGCATATTAAATTGCAGGTCTAGTTTGTATGATTTATTCACGGTATTTTCCAGTCCAACACTTGAGTGGCTTATGCCAAGTGATGTATGGAGGAATGAGTTTATGCCTGCTGGCTTGACCTGTTGTACATGTTCAAGTGGAATAGCAAATGTATCCTGTTCTACGTGTTTCCCCCACAATACTGTAGAAATAAGAGTGGTTCTGATGAGCAGAGCACCCCTGTCATTCTTGAGGAACTGTGCTGTTCTCTCTTCTCTTGTTGAAAGGGAAAACGGAATGTTTTCTTGGATTGTTTTCAGCCAGACTTTGTTATGGTTGGTTGTTTTGTCTTTTTATAGTTGCACTTAGAGCAAGATAAAATCATGTCACTTGAGGCACTAGAAAGGGAAAATTTCTAGGGCTGGTTTAGTTTTTACCTTCCATTCTGGGGAATATCAGGGAAGCTCTTTTAATCCTGTAAGTCTCTCTTGTTCTACCCCAAGAATGTTTTTAAGGCCCTTTTCTATCAGATAATACCAAAACAGGAGCTTTTCCACCATACAGCATAAGCTAGCAAGGTGAAACCTCATTTCCATGGTGAAGCAGTGGGTTCTGCTATTTCTTTGACACATAGGACACTTTTGACTTTAGAAACACAGCCTTAAATCAAAGACAATGAGATTCTGATCTTTCTTTGAAATAACAGAGTTGGGATATAATACTGAAGATTTTGGTACCCATTATCAGCTTTTAATGAAACCACGTTGCTTTGAAATAACAAAGCAAAACACTGCTCAAGTTGAACTGGAGAACACTTTGGGTGGCAAAAACACTATTTTCATTTAATTCATTTTGTGTTTCAGATTTTCTGACCATTTAATTGTCATGTTTGAAGAATCACCTGCCTGGGATACAGAAAGAAAATATGTTCCTAAAAAACTAGAGGTACAAAATCACAGTCAGTACTTGAACTTCCTTTTTAAAAAAAAGAATATATATATTCTAATAATAGCCTTCTTTAAATATTAATTGGGTTAAGATATTTTTATATTAATTTACCATGTGTTAGAATTGCTTTGCATATATATGTATGTATGTATTACGTTAGATTCCTTGCTTACTATTGTTTGAGCTTTTTGGAGATGGGATATTTTAAATTCTAGATTTATATTGCATAATAGATCCTAAGGAGCAATTTTTTTAAAAAAAAAAGCGATAACGTGGTATCTTAATTAAGTTTGCACATATAGGCCAGTTTCATAATATGATCAGTTATTAAATCTTAGACAAACCAATATGGTGGATAGAATCTTTCTAAAAGAATTCCTTCTTGCTTGTCATAAATATCTTTTATTTCCAAAAAAAAAAAAAAGATTAAGCTTAGAACGAATAACTCATTTTGAATCTGATGCATTTCAGTAGTAAAAGTTCCAGGAAATAAAATGAGTGGGTGGAATTGTCAACCCTCAGATGCATGATTGCTACAAATTTAAAGCGAGTCTGGACAACTTCATGGAAGAATTAACTATCAAAGACTCTTTTGATGGCTGTGTCTTACCTCCTAATTCATTGGTGGTCTATCTTCAATACCAGCTATTAGGGACCAACAACAGTGAAAAGGATCTGTTACCCACTATCCCTGTTTCTGAGTTTCCTGAAAACATCTCACTGATCACATGTAGCACAATGCTAGACCAGATAGTCCCTTGATCTTGTCCAGTTTTTTCTTCAGTTCATTATCTTTAGCAGTTCTCAAATTACTAAAAGCTCCAGACTCCTCACCCGCCTCTAAGTAACCAGAACAAAATATTTAAGTCTTCTGTTTCTCATCAGCTTGTTAGTTTTTTAAGTAAGTTCTGCCTCATCTGTATAATATGTTAATCATTTTGTTCATGTGTTAATTTTTTTTTTGGCTTCACCTATTACAATGCACAGCTTTATTTTGAGGATGAAGAAAGAGGAGATATATACCAGATAAACCCAGAAACCACATTGTTAGAGGTGCTGCAGCACGAAAGGTGAGATGTTGAACTATGACCTGGGTGTTGGGTGTTGTTGCTGCTATTTTTATTTATATTTTTAAATTTATTGGCCACCCAACTCCAATGGGCTCTGGGCAACATACAAAACTAGAAACAAACATAAAAACAGTTAAAAACGTGTTATTAATCCTGACTCTCAAAGTGCAAGGTACCGGTATTGAATGATTAGGGTCATGACTTCAAAAGAAAAATAATCAAAATTTATCCAGGTAAGAGAACTTGCTTACTTTTTTGATTGCAGAAAAGACATTACCTGTATTTATTGGTGATTAGAGGCTTCTTATGGACTTTTTGCATGAAAATTAAACTGAACTTGTGATTCATGGTTGTGTTGATTAGACAGGATAGCTTATTGAATGAAGAGATAGATCTGATGTAACTTTATAGCGATAGGTTGAAACACATCTGTACTTGTAACTGTTTTGAAGAGTATCAGAAGCCACTTGTATCCTTTTTATTTCTTTTCTGTTTCTCTTTTTTCTTGTCTTTTTTCTTT